CATTTCAAAAGTTAGATGACAAAATGGCCAATGATATTGGAGAAATCTCGCAGTAAAATTTTGAACTAAAAGCGTAGGCTTAAGTAGTAATAATGAAACAATACATTCTGAGATGCAACGATACCTCCCCCACGAAGTCATAAAAGAAAATGAACTCACCAACCCTGTCCAAATGGTGGCAAAGGAACCTCCCAGTTTTTTCCTCGCAAAATGGCACTCGTAAATCTAAAACAAGCAGCGAACACAACATCATCATCTACTATAATATTAATAAACATTAAAAAGTCTTGAATAATTACACAGAAATTCTACAGATAATAAATATTAGAAAAGAAAAAGTGTCTAAACATTTTACTTTAGATTGAGGCATGTCTCTGTGTTTCAAAAAAGCTGCATCACATGCCTATAGAGTAAAGGAAACGGCTCCAACCATTAAGAATAAGAAAGAAATGGGGGTTTTTAAGGAGTGTTGGCTGAGGAAGGAACAACCTTGAATTCTGAATTTTGTAAGACTCTGTTGAGTGCTTAAAGGAGAGTTGGGGAAGCTCTCTAACCCTGGTTTGGTGCACTATTTCAATAAATAAACCTGGGTCTTATTAGCTTCATATCAAAAGTGTGTGTTCCAAGTTTAAGACACTTTTACGAAGTTTCACAAATTCCTGCCAACATTATAAATGTTGACTAAGAATCTTTTTAGGTTCGCAAGAGTTCAAATCAGACAACACCATGATAAATAGATACTTGTGTTTTTGTGACTAGTAGACAGTTGCCTTACTCTAGTACATTTAACTCTCAAGGTAACTTGAAAGATATTAAATCTTAAATAGATATAGCCATCGTGATTCTCTCTAAGCACCCAAGCGCCCTTATCGACCGCTACCCAAAGGGTGGTCATTGGAATAAATAGTCAAGCAAAAGCAACAGATGAAGATATAATATGGGTAAAAAGGATCAAAGTACCCCCGTTTCGAACGAGGCATCCCTTTGAATTGTCTAAAATGAAGTTATGTCACATTTCCACTCTCAAAACACAGCAATCATCTCTCCCACAAATCTGAAATTCCTTGTACAGCTTTTGGAATCTACTCTATATCCCAATTTGATTACTCCAGAAGACAACCATCGAATAAATCAAACTGTGAATGCAGTAAAACGAATACGCACCTAAAATCCACTCTCTGAGACGAAGCAATTTCTATGGTAGATCGAACGAAGAAAACCCCATCTGGAGGAAAAGTGATCACATTATTGAGACTCCTTTTCTCGACATCAATGACCTGCAAAACGTCGCCGGCTTGAGTACCGAACAAGTGAGCCTTCTCGACGATGAACAGCTGCTCCTTCTCAGTGGTCCAGAGAAGCCGCCATGTCGCAGACAGCGAATCGTCCGTAGTGACTGAATTACGGGCCAGAGAAGCCAATGCGTCGACTGATTTGACGATTAGGGCAAGTTTCTGAGGGTTTCTCTGGGTCTTGAGGCCTCTTTCTTGGTCGGATATGAGGGTGAGGAGTTCGCGTTTGGCGGACTGGGACTGGATGGACGTGGAAGAGCAAGAGATTTTTGGGAGATGCGATGTAATGGAATGTGGGGAATTGAAGGGAAGCGATGGAAGGGAGAAGGATTTGGCCATAGATGAAGGTGGGATTGTGGAAGGGAGATGAAGATAGTTCCAACTTCCATGGCTTCGATTTTTGTGAACCAGAGATTTTTGCAGGTTTCGAATTGAAAGGTGGGAGAAAATCAGATAAAGAACAAAGATATTTAGGACATTTTCTAACGCTAACCTAATTTTTGATGTGCTAATCAGATAGTAAGTCCAGTTTAGCGGATTGGTTTGGCTCGATTTTTGGAGGCAAAGTCGAAGTCAAACCGATTAAAAATAGCAGAATAATTAAAAAAAATTGAGCTGAATCCATAAAAAATCGAAGTCAAACCATGCCAAACTGATAAACAGTTGATTTATCGGTTTGGTTTGGCGGTTAACCGATTGGTGCGGCTCAAGCTTGTTTTCCCGCCTTCATTGGAATTCGAACTTTCACCGTCCGCCGACTAGCTTGTCATCGTTGATTCGATTGAGGAATTTGATGGAGTAGACAATGTCGACCGTCAGCGTTCCATTTGAGAGGAGTCTTTAGACGTCTTGGCGTCGCAAATGCTAGCTAATATGTCAAACAGTGTGATTTGTGAACGGTGTGATTTCGATGGAGGCGAGGAAGATGGTGCGGTTGGTGGAGTTGCTGACAGGTTAGATCGAAGCCAAAGGTGAAGGAAATTTTGAAGAGTTGGTTACTTAACGTTGATGCACAAAATTTGACCTCCTGTAATTCCGTCAAATTCACACCAATCTTCTAAAATAAAAAGGATCGACAAGACCTACAAAACAAAAGAGCACGAAATACTGATGTGGCTCCTGTCACACAGACTCCAATGCTTAACTCAGAATCGAAGTAGTTGAGTATGGAGAGTAGGGTTTGGTTTACCCTTGTATTGATAGAAATCGACTCATAATCCCTTTAGGAATTACAGAAGTCAAATCCTAGTGTGCCAGCTGGACTTCTGGGCTCATGCGCTTCTTCGTGGAATATATATATTTAAATTATGATTTTTTTAGTTGTTTTCTTTTATTTCTCAAAGATAAACCTTTTTGTTTTAAAAATTATTTTTAAAAGATAATTTGTTCTTAAAATTTTAAAAAATAAAATAAAAGAATTTTATTAAATCTTTATCTTTTTATGTTATTTTTTAAAAAGGATTTATTAGGAACCCTAGGTTTTATTCTTCTTAAACAGTTAGACCTAGTTTTTTCTTTAAGAGAAAAAGAAAACAAAAGAAGAAGAGTTTTTGTATTTTGTCTGAAAGATTGGTAAGTTTTTCTTCCTCATTGTTTTAGTTTTATTTTTCTTGATTTGTCATTCTTTAATTCAGTTTATTGGGAAAAGCAGAATTTTGGTTTGAATCTTTTTGTTTATGAGACTGTTTTTGGGCTATTTTGAGACTCTTTTTGCATAAAAAAGTTTACCTATTTATATCTCATAAACTATAGTTTATTGTTTTGATTTTTAGATGAAAAAATTATATGTTTTACCAAGTTTTAAAGGTTTTCTATACCGTTTTCAGATCTAATTTTTCTATAAAAATCAGTAAATTGTTAATTGTTTTATGGAAAATTCTTGGAAGTTTTATTTTATAAACAGAAAATTTTCCAGATTTAAAATCCCCAAATTTTCAATTGTTTAGAAGRTTTTTAAGCTTGTTTTATTGAGCAACTTTTTGTAAATTTAGTCCGTAGTGATTTATATCGATTCTTGTAATTTTAAAGTTTGTTATGGTTGAATTTAGATGATCTTTAACGTAGTTTTCAGATCTCGTTTGTAACCCCAAATTCATATTTTCCTAATTGTTTTGCATAAAAAAAATTGTTTTGAATGGAAAAATTGGGTAGATAAGATTTCCTTAGTAATTGGTTGAATTTTAAATCCTTAGGTAGGATTTAAGGATTCATTTTGTATATTGATTGCTTCTAAGCCTCTAAGTTGACAACTACCCAAGGAAGAAGTTAAGTTAGATTTGTAGGATTTTCCGAAAGAGGTAAGCAATTTGTCATATCCCTTAAAAAAGTATTGTAAGTGATTTACCGTATCCCTTCGAAAAGTGTTGTAAGTGATTTGTCATATCCCTTCCAAAACTAAAATATATTTTGGATTTGATATGAAGACTTGAAATTGATATCTTGCATATGAAATTGAAATTTTATTATGGATTTGAAAACTAATTTGGCAATTGATATTATGTTTATTTGCAAAGTATTTGAAGTATTCTTATATGATTTGATAAAGTTTTGTTTAGATTTATTTAAAGGTTTGAAATTGATATTTCGTTTATTTGTGAAATATTTGAAATCATATTTTGGAGGATTGATAAAGCTTGTTTTAAATTACTTCAATGTTTTTAATTAATTTAATATTGAAAATAAGTATTTGTTTTGCGTTTTATTTGAAAGATATTTTGATTTATTTGATAGGGCTATCCGGATATGTCATGATTTTGTTTTGAGGAATATTTCGCTTATTTGGGGTAGTAGCCTAATTTGGAATTGATGGATTTCTGTTCTGGTTTTTTTATGGGAAGACACTTTTGTGGTTTTACATTCCTTGGGAATGAATATTCATGTGTGTCTTATTCACTCACATGGTCTCACACTTAAGTAACCGTTCTATTTGTTCTGGTCGATATTATTTCGACAACTCTATTCTGGTCGATATTAATTCAACAACTCTGATAGAAGCTTCTGGTTGATTGATGTTACCGATGGGTAACCACATATGTTCTGTAGGCTACCCAAATAATGCAACCTCCCACTCTGATTTTGAAAGTATGAATGAATGTAACATTATTTTGAATGTTTGAATGATTTAGTTATTCGAAAGTTTGAAAGTTGTACCAAATGTTTTAGAAGGAATTTTGAAAATTTTGATCGATTGGTATTTTTGTTACAAATGTTTCGAAACGGAAAAAAAAATGAATTTCAATGTTTGATATGAAAATTGCTTATTGAGTATTTTTGTACTCATTTTTCTGTTTTCTAAATGTTTTCAGATGAAGGTTCAAGTGACTGCTCAGATAGTGATTAGGAATAACGTTCTGGCATGAGGAGTCGGAAATCTTTAATATTTCCATTTATTTTAGCTTATGAGAACTTAGTTAGTTCTGCTAGTTATTATTTGGCTTTATTACAGTATAAGTTTCTATTTCAAAGTTGGATTTGTCCCCATTTTGTTTCCTTAGTATCAAATTAAATAAAGAAGTTTTTCCTTTGCTAAAGTGTTTATTTGTTTACGCTTCCGCATTATTGTTAGAATGACCATATTAGAAAATACGGGTTGTTACAGTTGGTATCAGAGCACTGGTTTGAGGTCCTGTAGACCCTAGGATTCTTAAGTGTTTTGTTAGTGCTAAAGTTCATGCCAGAACATTAGGTTTGATAGTTTTGGAATTTTGAGTTTCGAGAGTGTTTGCTTTCTATGGATGGTTACTCACTATATCCTTATGATATAGTTATTTTATTTTATGTTGCTTTTTTTTTATACCACTAAGGATTGGTTGACACATGCTTTGTAGAACAATGCTGCCACGAAGGGCTAATAATTTTAGAACTACAACTGTTGAGGAACTGCAAGATAATATCCCAGCTGTTCCACAAAACCCAAGAACTAACAGGAATGCTCCAGCTAATGATCGAGTCAATTGTGTGGTGGAATAGTTCATAAAGCTCCATCCACCCTCTTTTGATGGTACAAGCATGGATCCAATTGTTGCTGAAGAATGGATCGAGGAAATCGAGAAGGCTTTTGACTTTATGGAATGCAATGATCGTGAGAAAGTGGCTTGTGCTACATACATGTTGAAAAGAGGAGCAAAGAAATGGTGGAATATGGCTCGTAGGACATGGAATGTTGCTGAAAATCTTATAGGCTGGGATAGGTTCAAGGAAATTTTCTTTGAGAAATTATCTCCCCCGACGGCTAGACAGAACAAGGAGGCAGAGTTTATCAAGTTAGARCAAGGAAGATTGCCCCTAATAGAGTATGAAAAGAAGTTCGAGGAGCTTTCCCACTATGCCCCTCATTTGGTGTACACTGATTAGAGGAAAGCAAGACAATTTGAAAGATGTTTGAGACCAGAATTAAAGAAGCATGTTGCTGCCTTGAAATTGATGACCTATTATGAGGTGTTGCAAACAACTCAGATCTTGTCACAGGATTTGGACAACAAGAAGTCAGTTTCCAAGGATGGTGGTTCAAAAAGGAAGTTCCATGGAGGACAGAGTTCGAGTCAACCTCATAAGAGAGCAGGCTCTAGCAATAGTGGACAATAGTCCGAGTGTAAGACATGTGGCAAGAACCATACTTGGATATGCTACAAAGCGACATGAGTCTACTTTTGTTGTGGAAAAACAGGACACTTCATCAATAATTGTCCATTGAGCCAAAAAGTAGATGACTCGAAATCACAAGAGAAGAAACCAAGTAAGAAGGGTAAAGTCTTTGCGATCACTAAGCAAGAGACTAATGAGCCTAAAGTTGTTTCAAGTACCATCCTAATAACTGGAATTACTGCTTTGTATTGATTGATTCTGGTTCTATAAATTCTTTTATATCGGCTACATTTGTTAGAAAGTTTAAGTTGGTACCTGTAGACTTGAGCTATATACTTAAAGTATCTACTCCTTTTGGTAACGTGCTACATACTGATAAGGTAGTTGAATCCTGTCAATTAAGTATTGTTGATCGAAACTTGATTGCTGATTTGACAATTCTTGAGATGACTGATTTTGATGCAATTCTGGGTATGGATTGGTTATCTGCAAATTACGTTAACATTCTTTGCAATGAAAAAAAGGTTTTGTTCTCCCCTCCAGACCAACCAAAGTTTCGTTTTAAGGGAGTAAAAATATATCCTCGTTCAAAGATTATATGTGCAATTAAAGCATCTAAGCTAATTGACAATAGTTGTTGGGGCTATCTAGCCAGTGTAGTTAACAAAGAGAAAACATGTAAGCGAATTGAAAAGTTACCTGTAGTGCGTGAGTTCACTGATGTTTTTCCAAAAGACTTTCCAAGTTTGTCCCCTGACAGAGAGATTGAATTCTCAATTGATTTGGTACCAGGAATTGCACCATTGTCCAAAGCACCCTATAGAATGGCCCCTATCGAACTTCGAGAACTCAAGGAACAAATCCAAGAG